ATAAATATATATGTAGTGGGTTCCAACGAAAGAAAAGTATGTATATTAAAAAAGAAGAGAGGTGCCGCAAACATTTTTGGTTGTAATGTGGATTTATTTAGAAAAAATATTATGCTTTATTTTACATAATTTTACGACACGTGTTTCTGGTCTTGCGACCGTCTTCAGGTAAAACTGGCAATCCAATTCAAGAAGGAAATTCGGATTACCAACACACAAACAGAGAATGTCTCATATCGAGAATATTTAACACTGAACATAAGGAAAAATTAATTATTTTTAATAATATGTGAAATCTCCACTTTTACCTGAAGACGGTCGCGAGACCAGAAACACGTGTCGTAAAATTATAAAACAAAGCATAATATTTTTTCTAAATAAATCCACATTACAACCAAAAAGGTTTGCGGCACCTCTCTTCTCTTCTTTTTTTTATATATATATATATATATATATATATATATATATATATATATATATATATATATATATATATATTATTATTGCTACTAACCGCGTTCCTGGATTTACTAACAGTATTACCCTTTGTATTATTGTGTAAATACATTTTATTTCTTACATTTCATTTTTGAGTTTGTCATTCATTGGAGACTGAATTTCATCTCGGAATACACAACATTTATCCATACTCATTAACTACGCTATGCCTTGTCTCTATTGCCCTCAATCTGTCCTGTGAATATAAGGTTCTCCAAGCCCTCCTTCCTCAGAATGTGCCCCCAAAATTCCAACTATTTCTTTCTAATGTTAAGTATAAGCTTACATTTTTTTTATCATTTAAAAAAAATCGTCGTTGCGCACCTGTTCGGTCCATGTAATCCTCAGCATCCTTCTGTCTAACCACATATCTGTTGTTTCAGATCTCTTATTCATCTCTGAGAAGAATATCCAGCATTCACTTCCACTTAGGAAGACCTATATTACTAGTTTCTTTGTTACTAACGAAGTATACCTGTCTTCCTAACTTTTTGAATGCGTCTTTGGGTATCCTAGTGAATCTTCGAATTTCAGTACCACGATTTCTGTCCTCTGTTAGAACATTTCCCAGATATTTAAACGTTTAGACTTGTTTGATTTTGGTATCTCCGATTTATAATTTGCATTTTGAACTCATTTTTCTAACCAACATGCATTCTGTCTTCTTGCAGTCAAAAAGAAAAAAATCCTAAGATGCGAAAAATGTACTGGTGAAAACGGACCGAGTCAGTGACCACTCCAAAAGCCGGACCCATCCGATGAAGGCGATACTGTATATCTGGTGGGATTGAATAGTCGTTGTGTATTGCGAGATCCTTCGGCAAGACCAGGCGTTGAACGCAGATAGAAGGACCGATTAAGAGGCAGTCATCAACGAAAAGCCGACGTAACTGGACAACTGAAAAGTTGTCATCTCTGAGGAGATTGACCAGCATTCACTGCCGTACAGAAAGACATATATCACGGAACAGTTCAGTACACTTTAATTTGGTTCTTCTCTCACTTAATACTCTTGTTTAGCTTTTGAAATGCATCTTTGGCTATCCCAAATAGTCTCCGGATTTCAGTGTCTCACTTGCCGTCCTCTGTTCGCAGATATTTAAATATTTGTACTTGCTTGAATTTGGTATCTCTGAATCGTAATTTGCAGTTTGAGCTCATCAATTTGTTAACAACCAAGCCTTCTGTCATCTTGTTGCTAATGTTTAGCCGACGTAACGGACCAATCGAAAAAAGTGTTATGACAACGCCATATTGTAAACCATTTTCAAACTCGTCAAATATTAGTACAGCTTGTCTTAGATGTCTTACTATACACCATCTTACAATCTTACATATTAAAATTTCGGATAACGGCATTTCGATCCCAACAAAATGTTCTTAATTCGAGGACTTTCAATACTCTAGATTAAGTACCTCTACTAATTCCGTATATGTAACATTTAAAATAAAAAGAAATAATTTTTTAAAGATGAAAAAGTCTTTCTTGAAGTTTTAAATTTAGTTTTAATTGAATGCTAAAGGATTTCAATTTTACTATTTTTAGTATGTAAAATACACTGTGGTGTATTTCAAGTATAAATTACATTAATCAGAATCGATGCTGTAAAATCGATTTTGACACAATTGTAAACAAAAGTAAATTCTTGGGTTTAAAATTCATGTAAAAATAAAATACATATTTCTGAAACGTTATTTAAGGAGAAATAGCAAATTTAAATCTGATTTGAAGCAAATATTGCTTACTTATAGCATAGCATGTTGCATACAGGAAAAGCACGGGATCTTGTTTTTCTGACGTGTTAATCAATTTATTGACAGCCGAATGACCATCGCACGTGTTCATATTTATGTATGGTGGAACAGAAAATAAAGTTTATATGAAGGATTTTTCCGTAAAGTGGGGCAAGCCCTTAAAACACGTGACATTTTAATAATAATGTTAGGTTTGAGCATCTATACTTTTTTTTGCACTTATGTACACATAAAACAAATCGAGATTCTTTTAAAAATATTCGACGTCGTCAGATTTTAAAATGCTTGAGAATATATAACTGTTAAGTATAGTTTTACTTAATAACACTTTTCATAAGAGTTACCCAATTTAAAATGAATTTTAAATGTTTAAACCTTTATCAATTATTCAAATTAAAATTTTAAAAAAATGAAAACAAATCTTGTAAAAATTAATTTTCCGTTGAATTTATTTTCTTCAGACATATTGTCTTTAATGTATCTTATCCATAAAAGCAATTAAAAGATTCTCTGATTAAATAATGTCTTAGTTTTATTGTGTTTTTTTTTTCGATTCAGAAAAGATTTTCGGTAAGATGCAGCCCAATTTTGCAAAAAGATTTCGGTGATTTAAATTCTTCAAAAAATTCTCCTTTTAACTAAAAAATCCCTAAAAATTATCACGTTGAATTTCTCAAATCTAAATAAAATGAAGTAAGTGGGTGAAATACATGTAAAAAAATAAATAATTTTATCAAGACTACCTAATGAAAACAATTCTAATAAAAGGTATCATTCCTGGAAATTTCATTAAAATCCGACAATTATTTGATTTTTGCAAGAATTTCCAAATTAATGTTTTTCGCAGCAAAAAGAGGTTAAAATATGCTATACTAAAAATTAGTACATCTGCTGAGGCAAGAAAAAATAATTTTAATGAAAATTTTGAATGTTCTAAAAAGAGTAACAAACTCATTAAATATGCAAAAATACTTTGACCCTTTCTCTTAATAATAGCATACAGATTTTGACGATAAAACTGGTTTTACTACATTTGGAGCCTCTTTTCATCACGGTATGCTAATGTTAGGCGAATTCCTATAGGTATCTACTCTAGATCCTTGTAAACATTAATTAAAGGAGTTCACCCCAAACGATGCCAATTTTTAGGCGGTTGGAATCTTAAAGCAGCATAAAAAATGACAGGTATGGGAAGAAAATGTTACATGTTTGGATGAATAAATCGTTGTACCAATATCTAAATATTTTATTTTAAATTCCCTTAAAAACAATTAAAGATTACTTTTGTGTCTGCATTTATCTAATGAACAAATAAACTAAAATTTGATTAACGTAAAAAATAGTTCTCTTATTTTACTTTTTCCGATTCAATTATTTAAATCAAGTCTCATTCGAGTGTTTGTCCCGTCTACATTTTTTGAATATTTATTTTACAACAGACTTGCCATTAATCTTACTTATTATAAAACGCAGATTGTGTGTGTGTGTCGGTAACGTTTATATATTGGATCGGATTTTCTACATTTTTTAACCGATTTCAACAAAACTTCACAGGACTACATAAAATTACCTTGCGGTGGTTCTAACAGCGCCCCAAATTGGAAAAACACAATTGTTTTTGCACGAAATCAATTTGAAAACACGATTAAGAGGCATTAATGAAAAGGGGACAACTCACTTCGAGTTAAAACCCCAAGTTGTGTGTGTGTGTGTGCGTGTGTGTGTGTGTTCGTTTATATATGGGATAGGATTTCCTACATTTTTCAGCCGATTTCAACAAAACTTCACTTTTTTTGGCAGGTGGTGTTTCTTATTGTCTTGCACACTTTTTTCTTTATTTTTACATTCAGAATGCTTTAAAAATTCCATTTACAAAACAATTGTTTATAATAAAATTCTATTCAATCGGTAGACTCATAACGATTGAAAACAATGTTTTTGTTTGACTTTGGGTTTGACCAATTCATAAAAAAAAAAAAAAATAATTAAGACATGCGTGTCCGTCAACCTTAAACAAATAATCTTTGTCAATTTTATTTTTCAGTCTTTATGATGCTCGATACTTGATCTATCTTTTACTGTTACATCCCCGGGCAACGCCGGGCTCTACTGCTAGTCACTTATAAAAGATACAGCGATTTACTTAGCGTAGCTTAGATGCGGCTCAAGGTCGAATGTATGGAGTAACAAACGAGGATTGAACTCACTATTCAGTCGGAATTGATCTTGCTAGAAAAGCTTACCAATGCATCATGTCGAACTGCACTATGGTGATTTTCTAAGCGTAGATTGTATATGGCACCGACGTATGGAACACCCCCCCCCACACACACACAATGAGTATTGAATTGACTACTCAGAATAAGAGATCTATAGAGAATAGTTTACATACTTAGACACTACGTCGGATGGTCCTATGGTGGTTTTCTAAACGTAGATTCGATACGGGATATATGTATATAGCCCACAATGAGGATCGAACTCACTACTCGTATTTGATCTTGCGAGAAAAGCTTATTTAACTATACGCCACGTCTACGTATCCTCTTCTGGTTTGCTAAGATGGGGCACAAAGCTGAAAGTATGAGGTTCCTAGTGACAATTCTATGTCGTAATTGAACGAGCAAGACAATCTTACTAACCATTTATACAATATCGAAGTTACCCACTAATAACTAATATATAGTTTAACAAAAAACAAACATATCTCTTCAAAACCTAGGCGGTTAAGGCACATCAATAGTTCCTTACGGCCATATCACGTTGAAAAACCAATTCGCGTAAGATCACCGAAGATAAGCATCTTCATACCTGGTCAGTAACTAGATGGGTAACCGTTTGGGAATATCGGGGGCCGTAACCTTGTATGTGCAGAAGGTGTAAGGAACACTGGTTTGGAATTGTTAATTAGAGAGCCAAGTTCCAACTCCAGTTGGGACTGTTATATTCATTTTAATGCAAATAACCCTGGAAAAGATATGAATCCACAAATTCTTCCACATCTATGGGTTAATTAGTAAACCATTATTAACTCCCCTTTACCAATAATATTTTTCAATCTAAAAATATTTTATGACTGTAAAGGGTTGATAAGTCGTAAAAAACGAATCAATCAATCAATAATTCCAATTCGTATGATTTTTGTCTATGAATTGTCACTTCTTGGAAAATATGATAGAAAAGTTTCCTGTAGCCTTCTATGTTTTTCTTAATACACTGTTATCCTTCTAAAATTACAAACATATAGCCATATCACATTGAAACAGCGGTTCCCGTACGAGTAACGAAGTTAAGCAACGTCGAACCTGGTCAGTACCTAGGTGGGTGACCACTTGGGAATTCTAGGTGGTGTAAGCATGGATGTAAGGGTGGTGTAATTGATAATGGTTCTAAATTGTTAAACGGAGAGTCGAGTTTCAATTCCAGCTGGGTTCGTTATATACACGTACGCGCAAATACCTTTGAGAAAAGTATGGATAGACTTATTGTCCCCGAAGCTATGGATTAATAAGTAATCACTAAACACTTATCTCTCTCAAGAAAAAGCTGTACAAAATAATTAGATTTCGGCTTTAAATAACACATTGAGGTTGATATGTCAAAAATAAGAAATAAAAATCTAAACTGGCTACCACTCAAGACTAAAAAAAGCCCAGATTAATTTGCTTTTTACCGCTTAGCTGTGAGTGAGATGAATAGTTTGATTCATACTTTTCCAAAGACTATTAGTGCAAATTAAAACGCAGCAGACTAAAAACAAAGTGGGTAAAACCGTTAAAAAAAGCAAGAACAATATGTATAAAAAATGACTACCTTGTCTCATTCAGGTCTTCAAAACAAAGATAATAAGTTTTCATCAATACTGAGAACATAGATTTTTATCCATTTCTGAAGAGCTCTTGTATTCTTGCTGAGGCTCCTTCCCTCAAACATATTCATATTCCTTTAATAAGAAGGGATTTCCACACATGCAACTTCTTATCCAGAATTATTACTTTTATGGAACCGACAAGGAATGTTTCCCTGATCTCTGCAAGCTGCATATCAAGGGCCGATCTAACTATCTTCATAATACAAATATATAGGCCTTTACAACAACCACATTCAGTGACCCTCTACCTTGAATGCATCATGAGCCTTTTATCGTGTGAATACTTTTACGATATAGAGACAAATAATAATACATAAACCTGAGATTTTCTCAATGTTAAACAAATCTGTTTCTCTGGATCAAGATATTCAATCTGTAAAATCCTGAAACGCGTTGATGCGAATATTGATTTGGCGTGAACATCAGCTTTCTAGCGGATATCTCTAATTGGTTTGAAGTGCTATATTTTGCCAAGACATGGAAGATTTAGGAATTGATTTGATGAAAAGATTGCCAAATAAGCCTGCAACGTTGGCAAGTTGTGCCAGTATGTCGGGAGAAAAAGGAGAGTGGGATGGTAAGAAGAAGGTTCATTGATCACCAAAGATACAAGAATGTTGAATGAATGATGGTTGAAGGTATTTGATCTAGTCCTACAACGTGCAGATTAACCAGGACATTAAAATGTAACTTAACTCGTATCTGTGATTAGCAAATCTATGTTGTTTCCTTGTCTTCCCGCCAGAAAAGAATGTTAGTCATCTTTTTGTTTACCATGCATTCGCCATTTTCTTTTTTTTTTTTTTTTTTGACAGATGTGGGGATTATATAATGGATTCTTCTTCTATTTCCCTTTTTTCTTCAGGAAACGAATGACAGTGCCTCTCCATAACGATCCGAGTATTTGGATCAGGAAGTCAGTTTAGCTTTGGCTATCACTACTCATACATATTCTGCCAGCTATTTACAGAAGCTCATTAGGTACCCTGTCATTCGGGCATTAATATGCTCTGCGAATGTCAATTCTCCAAGACCTTCTTAGTTGTAGCTTTCGGATTTTAATACACACACAAACACAGACACAGACATATACATACATACATACATACATATATATATATATATATATATATATATATATATATATATATATAGCATAATGAGAAGCCACGTATAATTTCTTAATATGTATATATAGAAATAGTTGCAAATTAAAAAAATAATAATAAACTGTCATTTCTGAAGAAAGATTGAGGCCAATTTGAAATATCCAATATATGTAAATAAATAAATATTTTCATAAAAACATTATTATTTTTTCATTGGCAACTTTATATATATATATATATATATATATATATATATATATATATATATATATATATATATATATGTATAAAGTTGCCAATTAAAAAATAAATAATATATATATATATATATATATATATATATATATATATAGGAAATTAATCCAAGAGAATACGAATAATATAACATAGTAGATAGTTCAATATATTCATTATACAGCGTAGAAATGAAGTACATAAAATTGAAATTGAACTTGAAAATGGGGTACAATTGAATTTCATTTTTATGTAATATATATATAAAAACGTGGTAAGTCATCATGAAGCACTAACTATGACGAAAGAAACGTTTCTGAATGTTGTTACATATACATATGAAGGTGACGTTGAGTCATTTATTTCCCCTAACATTGTTCTGATATATAGAAATTTATATACCTCATTCTCTAATAAACACGAAATTTACTTCGCTATTTAAACATTAATTAACATATTAATATATATGTGAATACGCATATGTATGTACGTTTTAGTATAGGAGCAGATACGTTCGCCTATCGCCCAGTTCACACTCTTCTCGTGTTGTTTTGTTTTTTTTGTTTTTTTTTTGGCGGGGAAGGACGTGGCCGGGTGGAAGTGTCATTCACTTCTTTCTGTCTTAATTTTGCATATAGACATCCTGTCTTTATCTCCGATCTTTTATGCATTAGTCAATCTGCGTTCTGAAACATCGACGATTTTGTTTTTGAAGAGGAGTATAGGTTTATCCTTTGTATGTTGTCCAGAATTGGGTTTCCGATTCCTTTTAAAGTTGTTTTCATTCTCTTTCTTTCACTCCTTTCTGTCTTTGTGGCATTATCACATTACTTGACTTGAAATGATTATATATATATATATATATATATATATATATATATATATATATATATATATATATATAATAAAGACATTTTTATGTTTAACGTTCTTTTTATAGATACAAGTATTTAAGTAAATGATCTGTTTATAGAACGTTAAACATAAAAATGTCTTTAATAAATAAATTGTCGGTCTTTGTCCATTTCTTAATATATGACGTCATTTGTTTACATTTGATACGCCATGAGCAGTTATGAATGTACGAGATTCATGCCAACCGAACGATCCTTTGTGGCCGAGAGATAAGGCACGTCAGCGTAAATGACGGTTCCGTATAGGATGCAGGGTCGAATCCTGTCAAAGGACGAATATTTTCTATGAAAATTTCTCGGACATTCAGGCCGGTAAATGTTATTTAATACTGTTTATTATAAAACAGAGCATTTACTTAAATATTTGTATCTATAAAAAAGAACGTTAAACATAAAAATGTCTTTAATAAATAAATTGTCGGACTTTGTCCATTTCTTAATATATATATATATATATATATGGGGGACGTCAATCATTCTTTTGAATGTTGGTGCCTGAATCGTGCTTCACATCGTCTCCAGACCACAGCTTAACAGATATTGAGTAGGAGCTGGTCTAGATACAAAATAAACAAAGTTAGTTAAAAGCATGTTCGCAACACAATGCTACTTTTGAGCTAAATCTGCTTACCTTTAATTCTACGTTATTGACAACGGTCGTTACGAGCGCGTTGAATTGGTGAATGTTTTTAACACAAGGTTGAAAAGCTGACTTGTAGTTTTGAAAATAAATCACAAGAGGCTGACATGTCTACATAAAAAAAACAAAAACAACAATGTCCTGTCCGATGGCAAAATAGACTAGTGGCGCCACGGGTGGCAGTACCACCTTTAGACATTGTTTCCTCCACTAGTTGGCCCACTGACGTGCGGTACTTTCACGCGTTGTAAGTAGAATATATATATATATATATATATATATATATATATATATATATATATATATATATAATATAACATAAATGAAGAATAAATCACCGTAAAATAAGTATCAACCATAAAATGAGCCATCGTCGGGCTAGGTTCGATGTTTATCGCGTATCTCTCGCGGTTTAAGACTTAAATATGGAGAACTCGTGTTGTTTTGCTCTTGAGGGGCGTGGCCGGGTGGAAATTCAGTTCCCATACTCTGTCTTAATTTTGCAGATAGACAACTTGTCTTCATTTTCGCTCTTTTATGCAATAGCCAACCTGCGTTCTGAAATATCAAGATCGACTATTTTTATCTCCTTGAACAATTTTCAAAATTCATCATCCCTTTCATAGCTCTTACTTTTCCTTATGCTCCATCTTCGGTTGGGTCTATGGTTAATTTTTGCTAGATATATCTAGACAGAGCAATGCTATTACGATATTTACTCTATCAGAAAGATGTTGAATGGCTGTTGAAGCTTTTGTAAACCTCCCCTCGGTCGGACTGATATAATGCATGGTGAGAAGACCTTCATTTAAGCGCGTGTGATTGTCTTTGCGTTGTCTTACATTGGTCAAAACCAATCCCATGGTGAAATTTTATGATCTTTTCTAAATTAAGCAATATACTGGCACTCATTACTCGAAATAGAATTTGAAACACAATAACACGATTTTTAAATAAATTTGTCGATAGCAATGGACAGTTTATCTATATTATGTTAAACAAATGGATAAAAATTTAATTCATTTAACCTAAGGTATATTATATAAACTTAGCCTTATACTTAAAATATAAATCAAAACAGTAGCGAAAGTCATTTTTCGGTATTATTTTAATAACCAAAGCTATTAATGTCCATATCTCCAGCAATCATTGTGCTGTATAAGGACAAACGGAAAAGCGTTTCAAGAGAACGGTGCTGAAACAAAATGCAAACAACCTGAAGACTTAAGGAAAATGTAAACAAAAAAAGGACACTTCATTTGGAATCGGGAATAGATAGAATAGTAGGGACCAATCTTGATGAAACGTGACTATAAGAATCTGACGCTTACAGGACATAGAGAACCTATATAAATTGATGGCAGAAGACGAAGGGGAGAGTAAGAGGGACAAGGGGGAGAGCCATCATTGTCCACTTTGTGAAGATGAACGGTACATCTAAGAAAGTATCGTCTATAAAAAAGTATGAATAATAATAATAATAATAATAATAACAATAATAATAATAATGCTTTGAAGATCTTCAAAAACTATCAAAATACCAGTGGAAATCTAAAAGATATGGCAGATGAGGACTTCAGTTATTC